AGCTTAAGCTGGCTATTTAACTGACTGCCTGTGGGTCAAATGTGGCCAGCGTATCATAGCCAGTTATATTGATTTAATTAACTTTCTACGCCGGCGTTCGGGTCTCTGGTCTACGATGATCCCCATTTTCAAAATGTGAGTAAATTTAACAGCTCTCACGATGATGGAATTTTTATATCTGTTTTGCATTAAGCGCAGTATTACTATTATTGCTATTATTTTTATTATTATTGTAAGTTTCTTAAACTAGGATTGTGCCCTCTGAGCCTCCACCCACTCATTTTGTCTAGAAAATGTATAAAGTGGAGACTTTCAACCAACACAGGCATCGTGCCAATCCCCCTTAACGGCTTCTTGCTACACGCATCTACAAGTTACACTGTTACTATTCGTTGCCTCCACTCTGGGCCTTGAAAAACTTAGGTGTTGTTGATAGTGTCCACCCATCTGCACAAGTGTCTTCCTTTTGGACGCAACCAACTTTGTATGAAAACAGTCAGCGGTTTGTATATAGCGTGGCCAAACTCGCGTGGTTACGTGGTTACGTGGTTGTGTCAAGTCACAAGTATGCAGTGACTTCGGTTGTGATAACATGACATATTAGACACACAAACATACATGCACACATAGAGACAGAGAACGAGATAAATACCACACATGTTGAAAATGGAGATGGTCACGGGCCAGCAACCCGAGTTCCAGCATAGAAAGATATTTAATATAATAGGTTTGGTTTATACAACGGATCAACATCATGTGGTCTTCGAGCACACCTGTACAGGATAAGCATAAAAGAATCTGCTGCCTGTGATTGTGGAGCAGAAAGACAGACCCCTGAACACATACTACAGTACTGCCCTAATTTCTCCCAGCAAAGACTGTGGATCTGGCCCAAGGGAGGCACATTGTAAGAGAAGCTATGGGCGACCGGTGGCGACCTTAAACGCACAATCCTATTTGTGACCCAGACGGGACTCAATGTTTAGCATGACTGATGTCGAACGCAGAAGAAGAAGAAGAAAAAGAACATCATGGCACATGGGTAGTAATCCATTAACTTTCCGTTATTCTTCTAACTCAAACCTGAGTCCGAAAAATCTCAGCGACGTGCACGAACTCCGTAGCACCGGCGAGGATCCTGAAATACTTTGGGTAGATTTTTAACTACAAGTTTTACCCGGGCAGCGACGTTAGGCTAATCTTTTTGATTTCCAACAACCAAGGGATTTTTTACGTGAGCAAAAATACACACGGGTGTCAGGTCTTACTACCCAGAGACCAGGAGAAATTATCAGAAGCCTACGTGAAAAAATCCCAGTCTGAACCTGCGACCTCTGTTGAAATAATAATACTGGCAATGATCCGCGGGCCAATAGCTAGGCCTGACTGACTGACTGATTTTCTACCCCACCAGGACATCACACAAGCGATAAACACCCGATGACACAAAGTGCCACCATGTGGATGATGATCGCCGTGGAGAGGTCCCAGAAACCGTGTTCAGACAATTGGCCATATCTATGACCTGCCTATATTGCGGCCCCTGGAAAAAGCCAGGGTGGGGCTTCAAATAACAAAAATGTCGTCCTGAAAAGGACGAAACTGGATATTAATTCTGCTAGGCCTACGCGAGCCGCCAGTTAATAATTGCGCTGCAAAGCAGAAACACAATGGAGTCAAAAACAAACCCTACACCGGTCACACAGCCTAAAACACATATAGAGAAAGAGGGTCAAGATCTGTTGAACCAGACAGTACGTGTTATCGCATACAATACAAAACACTGATAAAGTTCACACGTGTATGGATATAACATATCAGTGCTGGGGAATTGAGGCATCCACCTTCACCCACTGCTAATTTCTGTTTAGCTGTATTGTGTTTTCTCGTCTGAGCAGTTTTTTGAGAGTTTGATGAACATTTGCAACTTTTGCATCACACAGGAAACTTACTTTTACTGCTTGTTAGTTTTAATTATGAAGTTGATTAACTTTCATTTTTAAAATTGACCTTGGGTTCTACGTACACCCAGCATAAAATGGATACCAGATACTGTCCTGTGAAAGACAGCAGCCGGCATGATTTTGCCATCTCGCACATTCAGGGCAGATTTTGGTTGTTATATATATATATTATATATATATAATCGTAACAAAACAAAAAACTACATGGGAGAAGTTAAGAAATTAATTCCTTGTACTGATTAACTAATAAACGTATGTTTTGTTGACTAGCCTCTAGCACTGAAAGATTTAGGGCCTATTTAGTCTCTTCCCTGGCATAATTACCTGCACAGTACACGACTTCTATTGCTGCCAGCCTTCATTGTGGAGACGGCACCTGATGACTAAATTGACTGTTATAGTTCTGGACTGTGTATTCTCACTTTGAGATACCAGTTCACAGCTCAGTGCAGCGGACTAAAAAAAAAAGTTAGTTATGTATGCATACCCTACAGCTACACTGTCATACGGCCTACTAATACTAGTACATAGTGATCAGATTGGGGAGCTTCCTTTGAAGTCGGAGTGCATCTGCCGGAGAGGCAAGGAACCAACAGTCTGTATTCAAGAGAATGAGATCTGTAAAACTGATGCACACGCAACACTCAGGTTCTGGAGCAGGACTGCAGTTCAGTAGTGGACGAGCAACCAGAACTTTCCGCCAGAGTGTACAGCTGGTGAACGCCAAGAAGAAGAAGAAGAAGAAGATTCATTTATTCCATTACTTTGCTAAACAAAATCGTTATGTTTATCCAGCATCCCCAAAGAGGGAGCTTTAGGTTATAATTGTGACTAGGTTATTTACCCTATATCAAATGGCCTAGCATTGCTTGCCACCAAGTAGCCCTGAAAAGGTCTCTGGCAGTGTTGATGCCCAGAGGAGCCATCCCAAATACTGTCCTAACTGGCTACGAAGTCATCTACCAGCCCACTAATGGGGGGCCCAGTACCGATGATGTGATTCATTGTGGATATCATTGTTGCATTTGTAACCTCAGTTTGTTAGACCACATAGAATGCACTTGATGGCATGTTCTGTTATTCAGATGATTCTTAAGAGCATAAAATTTTAAATCAAACAGGTGTTTACACTTAAGAGAAATAATAAAATTGCACTGCATTTTATTCCAGAGGGCTCAGTCTCACTCTGCAGAGTAGCTGCTCACTCTGCAGTTTACCCAGTTAGAAGATCTTAATAGCTGCTACTTATCAGAACACTAAAGGGTGTTTAGTACTGGCTTTAGGCATTTATTGGTGGTAATGCCGTAGCCATCAAAGAAGCAACAACAAAAAGTTATAGCAAACAGAGAAACTGTACTTGCTGTTCTGCATGAAGTTATTGAATTGTCAGCCATTTTTTTGTAAATTACAGAAGAATGGACACTAATGTGGAATTAAAGATTGAAAGGAAAGCATGCATAACAAATTATGAAGTGCGCCTATAACATGTAGTGTATAACAAATGAATTTGAAGTCCCTTGCAATAAAAAATTATGAAGAATTATGCAATAAAAATTTATAGAGAATTACAGTTTGGAGTGGCTCATATAAATATAAAACAAGACAACAATGCTAAATGTTACAAGCGCAGTAACATTATACATTTTTTACTGGAGTTTAAGAAAAATTATCTTCATATGATGCCGTTCTCTCTTCTCTTCTGCCTTTCTATCTCCCAGTGGAGCATAGGCCCTCAACCAACTTTCCCTAACAGTTTATTGTGTCTATGCTCAACATGTTCATGCCTTCCTTGTAAGTGTTCTTTGAATTTCTGTTGGAAACATCAGCTGCTAGAGAAGTGTGTTTGTACATTTGATTAATATGTGAAGCATGGGAATTTTATCAGTATGTGAGAGCACTTCAGTGTTTATACCTGGGTTGTTATTTTTTTTTTTGACAAGAGAAGTTGAGTATACAATACATACAATATAAGTGAAAGGTTTTGCTGGACAAATGTAATCCAGAGCTCACTGCTGTGTAAGTGAGAGCTGATGATAAAAAAAGTGTATACACTGGACATGGTTTTGCTAAATATTTATGAGAAATTTAAATAAGATGCCAAAGGCAACTGGCAGTTATTGAGATGCACACACATTCACACACATGTATGCGCACAAAGTAATAGATCATTTGTTACTTTTAAATACCCCCGACACTATGCTACCCGGGACACTTACAAAAAAGTCATATAAAATCAACACTTGTGAGATAAGATAGGAAAGCCATCAATCTCACTGTCTGAGGCTAAATAAGAAACAGTACAAAAGTCTGTTTGAGGGAACAACATTTTGTGTCAGATACATTGAAAAACATAAGATCAAAGGCGTGGAACACCTCCGTGTGGGTTCCGGGGCCCTGTTATAGGGAAACAAGAATAGACCAACTGCCTACTCAAAAGCATATCGTAAGAGTCGATTAATTTGGAGCTTCCTTCGAAGTCAGAGTGCATCTGCCTGAGAGGCAAGTAACCAGCAGTCTGCATACAAATAAGTCAGATCTGTAAAACCGATGCACACACAACACTCAGGTTCTGGAACAGGACTGCAGTCCAGAAGTGGACAAACAACCAGAACTTTCCACTACAGCCGGTGAACGCGAAGAAGAAGAAGAAGAAAGGCGTGGAATCTTGTTAGGATGTAGCAAACCCAGTTACCATCTAAGTGCTTTATCTAAGGTATGAGAGCAAGAAGCTGCGTGAGAAGAACATGGATTGATGACATTAGAGAAGTGCATTCATGTAGAATGTCACTAGCTAGTGTCACTCATTAAATAAGGGTCCAACAGCTTATTCCTCCTCATAACACCCCTGACGGCAGAAGTGGAAAAAGGATAATGATGACATAAAAACATTTTTTTTTTAGTTTTGTTTTTAATAGACCTTTAGCAATAAGAAATGTCCATACTTCCACTCATAAACCTGCTCAATTGCTGTACATTCTTATATTTTTGTTACCCTAAGAATTCAAGAGAAAGTTTAAAAGGTATATAAACCCGAAGATGCCTGAGATCCCAAGATTACCAAGATTAAAGCCAAGCACTGTGATCAGTAAAGAGAAGCGGGAGAAGGTGAATACTTCATAGTTTTTCCATCTTTATTTCTAAGTTAGAATTTTGAGAAATACAAGTAAATAAGAATAATTACAAATATACTGTTCAATTAGGTAGGTCAGTACAGAGCAACAGAGAAGAGGCCTTGACTGGCTGAGTTGAATGCCCTGGTACTAGCTGCCACACAGTTGAAGAAATATAATAAACATAGAGCAATGGGAATATCACACAAATTAATAAACAATGGCATTAAGAACAACCTTAAAGAAAATAAGACCAGCATTTACAGCACACTAGATAATTATTTCATATCACCCCCAACTTTCTTGAGGGAGATGGAGGAAGAGAAGATGTAAACTTTCTTGAGGGAGATGGAGGAAGAGAAGATGTAAACTTTCTTGAGGGAGATGGAGGAAGAAAGCATGTGAACTTTCTTGAGGGTGATGGAGGAAGAGAAAATGTAAACTTTCTTGAGGGAGATGGAAGAAGAGAAGATGTAAACTTTCTTGAAGGAGACGTAAGAAGAGAAGATGTAAACTTTCTTGAGGGAGATGGAAGAAGAGAAGATATAAACTTTCTTGAGGGAGATGGAGGAAGATAAGATGTAAACTTTCTTGAGGGAGATGGAAGAAGAGAAGATGTAAACTTTCTTGAGGGAGATGGAAGAAGAAAAGATATAAACTTTCTTGAGGGAGATGGAGGAAGAGAAGATGTAAACTTTCTTGAGGGAGATGGAAGAAGAGAAGATATAAACTTTGTCGAGGGAGGTGGAGGAAGAGAAGATGTAAACTTTCTGAAGGGAGATGGAGGAAGAGAAGATGTAACATTTCTTGAGAGAAATGGAGGAAGAGAACATGTAAACTTTCTTGAAGGAAATAGAGGAAAAGAAGATATAAACTTCCTTGAGGCAGATGGAGGAAGAGAAGATATAAACTTTCTTGAGGGAGATGGAGGAGGAGAAGATGTAAATACTACAATTGAACATGCAACACACATAGTTGAGCCTTAACATCGCTGTATGTGTTGGGGGGCCCCACTGTGGGGAAAAACAAGAATAGACCCACTGCCTCCCCAACAAGCATGTCAAAAGAGTCAACTAATTGGGTGTTTCCTTTGAAGTCGGAGTGCATCTGCCTGAGAGGCAAGGAACTAACAGTCTGCATACAGATAAGTCAGGTCTGTAACATGAATGTGCACGCAACATTCAGGTTCTGGAACAAGACTAAATGCCAGAGGTGGATGAACAAGCAGAACTTTCAGCCAGAGTTTACAGCCGGTGAATGCTTTGAAGAAGAAGATCCTTAACAAAAACCAAAAACATTTTTCTTTCTGTAGATATTTCCTTCTTTTCTCCAGCTTGATGCTATTTTGGGACCACTGACACTTACTAATGAAATTCTGACAAGGATCATGGCCGCCTTTCGTGAGCAGATGCTGCTGGCCAGCAGTACAGATGAAAATGCGCGTAAGAAGTCAGACCATCTCATGATGAATACATTTATACGAGAGCTTCTGGACGGTACAGGTGTGTATCCAGGGCGCTGTGTAATGCCCGTCTTCTTCTTCTTTTGTTTCTTCTTTTCTTCTTCTTCTTCTTCTTCTTCTTCTTCTTCCTATTTTTTTTCTTCTTCTTTTGTCGTCACACTGATACCAGGTGGTTTGTAGCCGAGTGTTATAGTTTTCTGTATTTTTCTTGCCCTTTTGGAGTCACTGGGGTGATGGATTTGTTCATTTGTTTGAGGTTTCTGCTACACCATTTATCCCTCTCTTCCTTGGTTTTCCTCTTGCCTTCCTCCCAGATGTTCTATTGTAAAAAGTCTCATATGCGGTTTGGGTCTGGCTGCATTCTCACTAGATAGGACAGACTCTTGAAGAATGCCCATCCACTCGTGAAATATTAATTAAAATGTCTGCAGTGTTTCTTCATCACCTATATAATTATTTCAAAATGTAAATGAAATTCTCTTCAGTTAAGTCTAAAGGTTTATATCCGAAAGGGTCAACTTCTTCAGCGTTGTTTAAGAAAAAAAATCCTATCTATGTATTTCAGTGGAATCGTTGCAGATTCACAGCTATCACTTGAATTGCACAAATATCATATTTATAGAAATTTATGCCCTTGTGATTTTTCTTCTGTTCAGAACAAGGCGACTATCTGGGACTGGATTTAGGAGGAACCAATTTCCGTGTGGTGTTAGTCAGATTCAAAGACGGAGTAGCTGAAACTACAACGCAGTATTACAGTCTCACAGATGAATGTCTCAGCGGACCTGCAGCCGGAGTAAGTTCTTACTGACCCATCTTCTTCTTTTGCCTTTTATTCCTCAGTGAAACATAGGCCCTCGGCCAGCTCATGCTGGTGGGACATAGGCCCTCAGGCCAGCTCATGTCAGTGGAACATAGGCCCTCAGGCCAGCTCATGCTGGTGAAACATAGGCCCTCAGGCCAGCTCATGTCAGTGAAACATAGGCCCTCAGGCCAGCTCATGTCAGTGGAACATAGGCCCTCAGGCCAGCTCATGTCAGTGGAACATAGGCCCTCAGGCCAGCTCATGTCAGTGGAACATAGGCCCTCAGGCCAGCTCATGTCGGTGAAACATAGGCCCTCTGCCAACTTACGCCGTTCAATCTTTTACTGTCACATGCAGCTCGCCCCTTTTGCTCTCCAATCTTTAGCGTCCGTTTTTAGATTTTTTTTTTAATTTTATATGCTGGTGTGTTAGGGAATGAACAGGCAGACTGACTCACTGGTTCTGCAGCACTGGATTATGAATTGTTGCATGACAAGCTAAATGTGGTCAGGGCCCTTTGGGAGCAAGTGCACACTTAGATCATTATGGCCTGAAAAGAAAAAGTACAGCTAGGAGTGATCAAAGGATCTGGTTGACAGTCTGCAAGCAAAGGAAGGGCAAGACAGACATGATGAACTACATTTTGAATGGTGAGAACCACTGCTGTATAGTATCTAGGCTCTCAACCACCTATGTCTGTTTTTGTCAGAATCTTTTACAACTGCCTGCCTATTGTGCCTAAAACTAAAAAATCAGACTAGTGCTGCACCATCAGGATTGGAACTCTTAACTGGCTGTTGAAGATGAGGATTGAGTGCTTATTGGAATGTCTCAAGTGTTGTGATATTAGATTTTAATGCAACTCAACTCAATCTTTTTTTTTTTTTGGTCCCCTTACTTCACTCTATGTCGGCTCTGTGGCTAAGTCGATGCAAATGCTTCGTAATGCCGGGGTGAAGGGTTCGATCCTAGCTGCAGGCCATGCGCCTTGCGTTGGTTTCGACAGTGGCATCAGGGGGCCGACCGTCCAGAAAGCAGTGACAAACTACTGGACATAAATTTGCCTAAAGAAACCACACAACAGCCAGGGGCTGCTGGGGTTGGTTCTGCAATATCCTGTAAAGGATACACAACTAACTAACTTCACTCTATAGTTTCCTTCTCCATGAGCACATTATGTTACATGTCTGTAAATGTAGTTGACTTTGATAAGTTTGCCATATCATATGATCACCAGTTTCATATCAAATCTCTGTGACCATGATTGGTTTACCATCTCTTGTGAACATCGGTTTTAGATGAAGTCTCTGTAACTATGATTGGTTTGCTGTCTCACATGAGCACCAGTTTAGAGGAAGTCTGTGTGACCATGACTGGTTTGCCACCATATCATATAGGCATCAGTTTTTGATTAAGTCTGTGTGACCATGACTGGTTTGCCACCATCTCATATAGGCATCAGTTTTTGATTAAGTCTGTGTGACCATGACTGGTTTGCCACCATCTCATATAGGCATCAGTTTTTGATTAAGTCTGTGTGACCATGACTGGTTTGCCACCATCTCATATAGGCATCAGTTTTTGATAAAGTCTGTATGACCATGACTGGTTTGCCACCATCTCATATAGGCATGTTTTTTATTAAGTCTGTGTGACCTTGACTGGTTTGCCACCATCTCATATAGGCATCGGTTTTTGATAAAGTCTGTATGACCATGATTGGTTTGCCTAAAATGAGATGATACTCACTGAATTATTTTGTAGCCAAATACAATTGGGACACCACTCCAGGTGATGAAATTCCATCAGCCTTATCATTATTTTATTTGTATTCACCAGCTGTAAACCCTGATGAAAAGTCCTGGCTGTTTGTTATTTCTAGACTTTGGCTTTGTTCAAGGACCTGAGTATTGCATGTGCACCCGTTTTACAGATCTGGTCCAACTGTATGCAGACTGATGGTTCCTAGCCTTTAGGGCAGATTTACTCCGTCTTACAAGGAATCCCTCATTAGTCAGCTACTATGACATGCTTGTCATGGAAGCAGTGGGTCCTTTCTTGTTTTCCTCCACAATGGGACCCCCGGACCCAGACAGGGGAGCTATATCATTATTATGTTCACAGTGCATTAGAAGTTGCCAAATATGAACACTATACAGGTAGCCAAAGAAGAATAGTAAACCAGCACAGAACTGGTGTCGTCAGTCGCCACACACTGAGGGATATACTGAAGTTGGGATCCGAGTGCTCATGGACTTGTTCAATGTGCAAAAAGCATAATCTGTAGATTAATTAACTAATTAACTAACTAACTGTTAGAAGTTATCTTTTGAATGTCTTTTGATATTTGACTGTAACACTATTTGATTGTTTTCCTTACGCATATAGCTGTTTGATTTCATAGCTGACAGCATTGAAGACTTTGTGCACAAGCAAGGACTGGCAAATTCAGAGAAGACAATTCCTTTAGGTAGGTGTTTATTTTATTCATCATCATCATCATTATCATGAATTAGAAGTTTGAAGACATAACTGAAGTTGGTTATTCTTCAGAGTTCCTCATCTTCAGTTTCAGGCACAAAAAGCCGGCAGTTGTAAAAGATTCTAACAAAAAGAGGCATAGGTGGTTGAGAACCTAGGTACTATAGAGCAGTCGTTCTCTACCTTCATAAAACAGTTCCTCATGTTGTGATGACCCGCAACCATAAAATTTGTTTGTTCCTACTTCATAACTTCAGTGAATATGTGTTGTCTGATGGTCTTAGGTGACCCCTGTTAAAGTTTTATCTGAACCCAAAGGGGTCATGACCCACAGGTTGAGAACCGCTGCCAAAAAAAGGATAAAAGACAAAAGTGAATATTTAGGTCTAACACTTCACACTTCATCAGGAGCACATTTTATTTTTGTTAACTAACACATACTAAGGGAAACTACTATGGGGCTGTAGCTAGCGTGCTTGCCTACAAACCCTGTGGATGTCTGTTTGAATCCTCTCAAGGCAGGTTTTCCCGCTTCTATTTTACCTTGCTACACATAAAAAGCCCCAGATAGCTGCTTGACAAGATCAAGCAATTTTTTTTTCTTCTTCTCAAAGTCCATGCTGTGTGGCATTGGTAGTCATGTCTATCCACAATCTTCTGTCTCGTGTACTTTCAATTAACTTTGATACAGATGATCTTCCATGCCATGATGTCAGACCGTCCAGCATCTGTTCTCTCAGTCTCACTCTGCCTCTCCTCCCCTCCAACTTTCCTTTTCAGGATGTACTCAAATTTTCTCTTCTTATCACATGACCCAAAAAATTGTGATTGTCTCTTTCTGATGTGGGTAATCAGTTTTCTTCGTGAGTCAGTTTCTTTCAAGACATCTTCATTACACTTTATCAGTCCAGGGTATTCTCATAATTTGTCTATAAAACCACATCTCCACTGTTTAAAAAAAGTTTTCAGTAATTTACCAACTGTCCATGATTCTTTTCCATATAACAAGATAGGATTTAATTAGCTTTTAAAAATTCTCTTTCTCGTCTCAATTGACGAAGAAAGATTGCATTAAAATTCTTGATTTTGTAAAATGTTAACTTTTCTTAGGCTATTCTAAATTTAGCTTCTTTAATACATCTTCCATCTGATATTATCAGTGTACCCAAGTACTTAAAGATGTTAATTTGCTTGAGGTTTGTCCCATTTACTTTGTTGTTGCATTTTGAAGAGTCAGTTATGGCAGCATAATCAAGGTCATCGTATGAGTCATTGTGTGAATTATTTTTTTTTAAAGCCCAATGGACTGTAACCATTTAATTCTCCACTCTATGTTTATTCATTACTCACCTTGTTCAATCAATCATGTGCCGTCTCTGCAGTGAAGGTTAGCTGCAATGGATCTCAAGCATGCTGTCTCTTGTCCTGGTTGTAGACTCTCTGTGACTGCTGCCTGTCCATCTCTTGATGTTGTCCACCCACCTGTATTGTTGCCTACCTCTTGGTCTTTTGCCTTTGACCTTTCCTTCCAGCATGGTTTTTAAAAGTGTGTTATGTCTTTTAATGTGGCCAGAGTATTTCAGTTGTCTCTTTTAATTTCTTTTAGTGATTTTTTTTTAATTTGTAGCCTTTCCAGAACCTCTGTATTAGACTGTGTTTGTTTCTATGGAATACGACCTATTCTTCTGTATACCCACATCTCCAAAGACTCATTTTGATTCACCTTGATATATTTCTTTAAAAGAAATTATGTTCAGTATTTATAAATATTTGTTTATAATTTATCAGGGCTCTAAGTTTTTGTAAGGATTTTTGTTTTAGGAATTCCTGGGCTTTTTTCCTCCATGGGTTTCCAGGACAGAAGTTTTAATCCAATGATACAAATCAACACATGGATGGAGTATATTGAAATAATTTAAACCTATTTTGCTTTTTATTATTGTTTGTTGATGAAGGCTTGTTGCCCCAGTAATATTTGTTTATTTATTGTAATTTTGTTTCATAAGACTGATGTAGCTTATGTTTTTCTAATTTTATTTACACAGGAATAGATAACAGTTGAAGTTGTATATATGATTTGTTCACCCACATTAGTAATTTATAGTAGTTTTTTTTTTTATTTAATAGAGTTAATTTGTTTCATACCTTTCTTCATGTAGGCTTCACATTCTCATTTCCTTCTACCCAACTGGCTCTCAACAAGCAAGTGCTTCTAACATGGACAAAAACTTTCAAGTGCCCTGATGGGGTAGGAGAAGACCCCGTTGCCATGTTGGAGGCTGCAATTAAGAGAAGAACTAAGGTGAGAGTCTTTAACTTTTTGTTATTTTTTTATCTGTTATGCTATTGTTGTGTAGTTTTGTGTGTATGTGTGAGGGTGTTATTGTTAAGTAAGAGAAGCGAAAGAGGAAGGGATACATTATTATTCCATTATATAGTTTTTTTTAATCATGTGTGCTGACTTAAAGTCCATATAGTAAAGGACCCTTTTCCACGCCTTAAGGCGTATAGGGCATAAGGGCTAGACCTATATTTTATATACCAATCAGCACAAGATGGGTGATGTGGTCAGCATCATGCTGGCCACCTCTACTTCCTGGGACTGCACCCTGTACCCACTCAAGGCTGGGTCGACCTGGGAGCCAAGGTTCTTTTGTTTGTTTACTTTTATTTAAACACATTTTATTTTACGAAAATTTTTCATTTAAATCATTTATCACCAACCCACCAACATTCTATTTTACGAAAATTTTTCATTTAAATCATTTATCACCAACCCACAAACATTTTATTTTGCGAAAAATTTTTCATTTAAATCATTTATCACCAACCCACCAACATTTTATTTTACGAAAATTTTTCATTTAAATCATTTATCACCAACCCACCAACATTTTATTTTACGAAAATTTTTCATTTAAATCATTTATCACCAACCCACCTACATTTTATTTTCCAAAAATTTTGTATTTAAATCATTTATCACCAACCCTTTGGTTTTTCCCTTTTGCCACATTTCAGACTTAGTTGCGTGTGCTCTTAAGGACATCATGTTTTGGCTGTTTGGTTTTTACCATGCAGTTTTATGTTCAGTAATTTTTCATTGCTTTCTTAATATTTTTTTCAATGCTCATTTTTGAATGAAAATAAGTGCAAAGCTGTCTGTTACCCAGTCACTTGCAGCTGACTTCAAGCCCTAGTGTCACAGGGTTGTTAACCTGTGTTTACAACCCCTTAACCATATTATAACATTATAAAATTACACTTAAACAATCAGTATTTTTCACCCTTACAAAAAATAAAGAGTGGCATTAACTCTTTAAAAATGGAAAGCCACTATGTGGGCTCCAGATGAAGACTTTTACTTGTCACTGATAATTTGCACTTAACTCTTTGTTTCATTTGGAACTGGGTGGTCTTTTTTAATGTTGTCCTCAAACTGAACAGTACATAATATCAGCATATGGGTTTCTCTAAATAATAAACATGAGGGAGTGAGACAAAGGAGGTTGGGGGGGGTGACTTTATGTCTTATATCTAAATAGTTGATACATTAATGTGCGTGCGTGCTGAAAACAATGACTTTCAGATCTCCTTCACCTGCTTAGCTTCTTCTGAAGCTAATCCTGTTTTGTAGTGTTACTGTTTATGTTTCATGCTAACATTTGTTTGTACAAAATTAAATCCTTGACAGTAGTAACTGAAACTTGGAAACACAGTCATGCTTCTCAAATAGGAGGGCTGCCACCTAATAATTCTCATGGAGGAAAGGGGAGGGGGGGCTGAAGCAGCTTTAGCTTTGTTTAATTGTACAGTAATAATTCTTCTTCTTCTTATTCTTATTATTATTATGTGCTCGATGGCAAATAACTATAAAATATATCTGAATCGGTATGAAATGTATAGACAAATGCTTTAAATGAGAAGAGAAAGTCCGGGGGGGGGGGGGGGGGGGGGGTTAGAACGGTGGCCCATAGGTTTGACACCTATGCTGTATATTACAAAAGCAATTATTGAACTGGAAATGTTCACTAAGACAGCAAGGTGCACAAGAGTAGTACTTGGAATATCTTAGGTTGAAGAGGAAACCTGGCATTTGTTTCTATTGGATTGGCATGTTAACCACATCACCTACTGAGTGCCACCTCATCATCGTTGTCATGTAGCAGGTTCTTTGCAGAACGTGTCTCATCACTTTCTGCCTTGAAGAAATTCTTTCTCTCACCTTGTGGCACTTTCTTACCCAAAGTGTTGCATACATCCTGTGCCCGTCTATGTTCTGTCAGTCCCGGCCCCTCTATCCTGGTACTATAGCTTCTGATATTTTTTGCAATCCACCGTGGCACTTGATATGGCCAAAGAATTTCAGTTTTCAGAGACAAGATGCTATTTACTAGCCAATCTTCCATGATGTTCAGATCTTTTAGGATGTCAGTAGAGTGCCAACTAGTTCATAAAAATAGCACCATAGACTTAATTTGCTAACTGATCAAAAACAGTTCTTCATTTACTTTATTTAGTATAGCTAATACGAAAGCTAATATGAAAAGAAGCTAGATTTAAAGCAATCAACCCAGAAAATGAGGAACTTTACTTTCTGAAGGGGGGGAGGAGGGAATTAGATCCACACATAATAAATGAGCTACTATTTGCAAATGATTATTGTCTGTTCGGCAATGAGGAGAGTAGACTGCAAAAACATTTGAAGAGGCTCAAAATACATGCAGAAGATATAACATGAAAATCAATACTGCCAAAACTGAAGTCATGCAGGTCAGCAGAATTCCTAGTCGGCTACATATCAGGTTGAATGGTAGCTGTCTGGAGCAAGTTAAAGAATTTGAATATCTAGGAAGTGTATTCTCGGAAGGTGGGAGAATCGCTCGGGGAAAAATAAGCAAAATGCCAGCGAGCCAGTGCACTTATATACCAACTGACACCGTTATTAAGACTTGCAAACATAAGTATGAGCACCAAAAAAAGACTATAAACAGCATATTTATACCAATACTGTGCTACCAGTGCCAGACTTGAACATTATCAGAGGCTAACCTACTTAAAATTAAGACGTGAAATGAGATGCCTGAGAAAAGACGGCAACTTAACCGCCAGAGGCAAAGTTAGAGGTGATATTATCAGACAGACTGTGGGAACAACACCTTGCAGCAGATTCACTGAGAAACAGAGGATAAAATGGTTTAGTCATATTGTAAGAATGCAGCCAGAACAACTACAAATGCAGGCGCTACACATGGAATGTTCTGAAGTGAAAGCAAGAGGCTGCCCTAGGAGAAGATGGACTGATAACATTAAAGAGCTTCTACATCGACATGGAATAACAATAGCCAGTGCTACTCATTAGCAATGGATTGCAAACTGTTCCCCCCCCCCTTCCACAACTCTTAACGGCAGAAGTGGAAATTGATGACGATGATGACTTGGCATAGCTTGTCAATTCACTTTAAAATCTAGTATTCAGTCTACTATTTCTCCTAATATGGCTTTGAATAGGAGACAGAAGGTTAAGAGAGAAGGTCACTTTATCTTTTCATAAACTGATGTACTTCTCAGTGTATACATTTTTTAATGACATTCGTCTTCATTTCTTTTTCCAGATTAACCTAGACTGAAAAGAAAGGTTATAATATTGACAGGATTCTGTTGATTTTTGATTTACATGTTTGAAAATGTTTTATTAAACTGTTTGATGAGGAAGCCATCATCATGGAGGCCCGAGAGTCATGAGTTTAAATCCACATCAAGTCTTATTTTGTTTTCCAAAATGACCTTGTCAGCCAGTTCGAGTCAGCCTAAAACGGGTACAGGTAAAGTCCTGGGAAGTTAAAGGCGGTTGGAGTGATGCTGACCACATCACCCATCAAGGATTTTCTTCAAAAATTTCCAACTTCACATGGGCTATTCAGCTAAGTTTACTCAGGAGCCAAATGTTGAAAATGCAGATTGTCTTGAGCAGAGGTTCTCAACCTTCCTAATGCCGTGACCATTTGACACAGTTCCTCATGTTGTGGTGACCCTTAATCATAAAACAATTTTCGTTGCTACTCAAAAACTTTAGTCAATATGTGTTTTCTGATAGTCTTAGGCAACCCCTGGGAAATGGTTGTTCAACCCCCAAAGGGGTCACAAACCACAGGTTGAGAACTTTAGCTCCAACATAGAAAGATAACTGACACAATACAGCTGGCACTTATTTGCAGGCTACTTGTGAGGCCTCTGTAAGCCAGATCATCCTGCAGGCCACCAGTTGAACAGCCCTGACCTACATCTTTCTTTCTTTTGTCAAAATCTACTTGTGCCGCTAGGCGTCGCAGTCTATCAGATGATCGGCAACCGAGCCAGGGCGCGCTCAGTCGCTTCATATGCCATGATGTTATGAAGTCTCAAGTTGTCCGTGACTCCTTCAATTCATCTTCTTCTTGGTCATGTTGTATGCTCTTGATGCTGGCATCGTTGGTTCCATTCTCATTAGGTGACCAAACCATTTCATTCTTTGCTTCTCAATAAATTTAACGATGGGTTTGACCTACATAATCTTTTATAATATGTACTTTTTTATTCCGTGTCCAGTAAATCTGTAAAATAGTCATCAGTGAAGAAAAATAAAATTTTTTCGGGTGAGATTCAGCAAGATGCCCTAGTTTTCAGCTCTTTTTTGGTTTTACATTGGTAGCGTACCACCTAGTTTTACTACTGTAACATAATATGTCATAATATGTGTGTTTTTCGCCCTCCGCATTCATGAAATCTACAACATAGGTAGTCATTAGTAAAGGAAAATACCATTTTGGTGTGTTTGCATGGTGCCCTAGTTTCAGATTTTTATTTTTTTTAAATCGTTACAAACAATTGTAGGTTGGGAGTGTGCCTGGTTTTTCTTTCTGGAGATTAAAAAGACTTATCTGTATTGGACCATGGTTTGCAGTGAATGGGTTTGAATGTTAGTGTGTGTTGTTAATGTACAGATTGTATGTTTCTGTTCTCTTATCAAGCCACAGTAAAAGCTTCTTTGTCATTAGCTTTTGTTGCAAAGTGGGGCTGTTGTGAATGGGTCTTAGATACGATAGATACCACAGAGAATGTTTAGAATGTTGATGTAGTGGTATGTGGGTGTGGGAATGTATATGTCTATAAATGTGTGTTTATATGTGAGAGAGACAGAGAGAGAGAGAGAGAGAATTAGCCTTAACGGCATGCTTGTTAGAGGGCAATGGGTCCATTCTTTGTTCTCCAAAATGGAGCCCATGAACCCACACGGGTAGCTGGTTGAGGTGGGTCAGATCATAAATGGACATGTTTTGCATCTAGTGTCTGAGTATTTGGACAGTTTCTATGGATCAGCCGTAGTCTGCTTCTGGCAGGCAGTCTTCTGGGTTATGGTCCTACTTATAGAACACTCTGGAGCTCTTACTGAAGATTCTAAAGGTGTCTGGTCCCACACCAGGGATATTAACATGGCGATGGAAGATTTAACTCTTTGAGTCCCAGGGGGTTTAGCATCACAGGCTCAAGGGGTGGTGAAGCGACGTTCCTCCTTTTACCCCAGAGTGTTAACCCTGGTACCCATTACCTAGAGGCTGGGTGAACCTCGGGAACTGCCCAGTTTTCGAACACCGGCCATGGGCTGCGGCGAGTTGCAGCTGGATTTGAAAGCGAGTCTAATATCGACTGTGCTAATGCTGCCTAAAAGTTCGGCTCTGCCAGGGAGCGAACCCACAACCTTCCGATCCGCAGGCGAGTGTCTAGCCGCTACACCACAGCTGAAGAGAATACTTTATTACTTTCCCTAATATTAGTACTATATTAAATTGTTGAGGTGTTTCTTGTTTCTTTCTGATTGTAATGTTTTTGACTCCTGCAGGATCTGCCAGTGGATGTTGTGGTTGTGATGAGTGATACTGTCAGCACCCTGATGGCGGGCAATTATCTAGACAAAAAATGCCGAGTGGGTTTGATATTAGGTATGTCTGTGCTGTTTTTACTAAAAAAATATTATATTTGTCTGTGTATAAGACACCCCCCATATATAAGACAACACCTAATTTTTAGCCTAAATTTAAGAAATAAATAAATATTTTCTGCGTATTCCATATATAAGACGACCCCCAGTTTTAAAAGGAAAAAATTTGGAAAACCATATCACTTGTACACAGAAAAATGTGATAATTGTGTTTGTTTGTTTGTTTGTTATTTGACTTATACATTAACATATAAACTCAGTATATCACCACACAAGTTGATTTGTTGTGTCATAGGCAGTTTCAAAACTTTGTGGAGTAAAACTACATCCTGATACCGTAACCTACTTACTCTGTAATTACCCTCTACATTTCAGTCTAGAAGTGGAATAACAGGACAGTGATGTTTGATTCATATTTCTGTGTTCCAGTCCAGGATACATTTTTAGAATATAATTTTGGGAGTTACAGTGTTAAAACATAGGTAAAGAAGTTACAGTGTTAGAACATAGGTCAAGAAGTTACAGTGTTAGAACTTAAGTCAATAAGTTACAGTGTTAAAACATAGGTCAAGAAGTTACAGTGTTAGAACATAGGTCAAGAAGTTACAGTGTTAGAACTTAAGTCAATAAGTTACAGTCTTAGAACATAGGTAAAGAAGTTACAGTGTTAGAACATAGGTCAAGAAGTTACAGTGTTAGAACTTAAGTCAATAAGTTACAGTGTTAGAACTTAGGTCAAGAAGTTCCAGTGTTAGAACATAGATCAAGAAGTTACAGTGTTAGAACATAGGTCAAGAAGTTACAGTGTTAGAACTTAAGTCAATAAGTTAGTGTTAGAACTTAGGTCAAGAAGTTCCAGTGTTAGAACATAGGTCAAGAAGTTACAGTGTTAGAACTTAGGTCAAGAAGTTACAGTGTTAGAACTTAGGTCAAGAAGTTACAGTGTTAGAACTTAAGTCAAGAAGTTACAGTGTTAGAACTTAGGTCAAGAAGTTCCATTGTTAGAACATAGGTCAAGAAGTTACAGTGTTAGAACATAGGTCAAGAAGTTACAGTGTTAGAACTTAAGTCAATAAGTTACAGTCTTAGAACATAGGTAAAGAAGTTACAGTGTTAGAACATAGGTCAATAAGTTACAGTGTTAGAACTTAGGTCAAGAAGTTCCAGTGTTAGAACATAGATCAAGAAGTTACAGTGTTAGAACATAGGTCAAGAAGTTACAGTGTTAGAACTTAAGTCAATAAGTTAGTGTTAGAACTTAGGTCAAGAAGTTCCAGTGTTAGAACATAGGTCAAGAAGTTACAGTGTTAGAACTTAGGTCAAGAAGTTACAGTGTTAGAACTTAGGTCAAGAAGTTACAGTGTTAGAACTTAAGTCAAGAAGTTACAGTGTTAGAACTTAGGTCAAGAAGTTCCAGTGTTAGAACATAGGTCAAGAAGTTACAGTGTTAGAACATAGGTCAAGAAGTTACAGTGTTAGAACTTAAGTCAATAAGTTACAGTGTTAGAACTTAGGTCAAGAAGTTACAGTGTTAGAACTTAGGTCAAGAAGTTCCAGTGTTAGAACATAGGTCAAGAAGTTACAGTGTTAGAACATAGGTCAAGAAGTTACAGTGTTAGAACTTAAGTCAATAAGTTACAGTGTTAGAACTTAGGTCAAGAAGTTACAGTGTTAGAACTTAGGTCAAGAAGTTACAGTGTTAGAACATAGGTCAAGAAGTTACATTGTTAGAACATAGGTCAAGAAGTTACAGTGTTAGAACTTAGGTCAAGAAGTTACAGTGTTAGAACTTAGGTCAAGAAGTTACAGTGTTAGAACATAGGTCAAGAAGTTACAGTGTTAGAACTTAGGTCAAGAAGTTACATTGTTAGAACATAGGTCAAGAAGTTACAGTGTTAGAACTTAGGTCAAGAAGTTACAATGTTAGAACTTAGGTCAAGAAGTTACATTGTTAGAACATAGGTCAAGAAGTTACATTGTTAGAACATAGGTCAAGAAGTTACAGTGTTAGAACATAGGTCAAGAAGTTACAGTGTTAGAACATAGGTCAAGAAGTTACAGTGTTAGAACATAGGTCAAGAAGTTACAGTGTTAAAACATAGGTCAAGAAGTTACAGTGTTAGAACATAGGTCAAGAAGTTACAGTGTTAGAACATAGGTAAAGAAGTTACAGTGTTAGAACATAGGTCAAGAAGCACACACGCACGCATGCACGCACACACACGTACACCCCCCACCCATGTTAAAACATAAGTATAGCAGTTACAATGTTAGAACATGGATCCAGATGTCACAGTGTTAGAACACAGCTCTTGGAGTTACAGTGTTAGAATATACATTCATAAGTCACAATGTTGGAACATATGTCTAGATGGAGAGTGAAGTGGGGTTGCCAAGTCATTCTAGACACACTTTTGTTTAAACCATGCCCTTATCATAGTCCCCGTATAGTAACCGAGCTTACATTCTCAATGCAGCCATGGTTAGTGCATTTCCTTACCAACACAGTCATCTAGGGTTAGACCTCAAGACATATTATTTTCAATATCAGTGAATCTGGGGTCAGACCCAACTTGGGAGAATGATTATTAGACTGCCTGTGTTGGTTCCAGGTGCCGAGGGGGAGGGGGTAGACCTGCTGCCTCCCTAGCATGCTTGTTGTACAATGGAACTAATTAGGGAAGTTCCCTTCAAAGTAAGAATGCATCTGCCTGCAAGGTGAGGAAAAACCATCAGTCTGCATGCTATTAATCCAGATATGTAGAATTGATGTGCACACAAAACTCAAATTCTGGAGCAAGACCAAAGGCCAGAAATGGACAAACAACCTGAATTTTCTACTGAAGTTTACAGCTTGTGAACATAGAGCAGAAGAAGAAGATAGGTTATTAGTTAACTTGTATGATGTTCTGGAAAATGAGTGCAACCGGTGACACACTGAACCTCATCTTACACCTTGGCTTAATAAAGTATTTAAGGGCCTGACACTTCCTATCATTTTGACAGTATCTGCCAGGGGGTTATGTTACCACACACTCTTAAAGGAACTAAAAAATATGCTGACTTCTTTCTTTCTCAACCCAAGTGGCTGGTAAATGTAACCTCGTGGTTACCAAGTCTGATCCATTTCCGTGTCATTTTTCCAGGCCATAGAATGTATTCTGCTAGCTGCTTACATGGAGCCATTTCATGCATGTGGTTCTGGAGAGTGCCCATTTTCTTAAATTCAGTGCTATTGTTCGTAGCCTCTTGTCTCACACTTTGCCAAGTATTTCCACTACATATTTCCTCCAGTTCCTGTGTCAAGCTGAAATCTTTTTTCTTGGTCCACCTCTGTTGCTTTTCATTCACCAAAGTGTCAAGCATTCTGCTTTCTTGTTGTCTCAGTGGATCCTCAATCATTTTTTTTAAACTGAACTCCTAGGTCGACCAAAACCTAAAATTGGTACCAGGAAAAGTTCTGAGAGGTAAACACTCCACTCATTAAGTGCTGATTGATCTTTTGATTATAGTGCTAGCACCATTTACCCAGTATCCCTCTGGTGTCAATAATATTTTTTTTTAAATTGTTGATATAGGGTAGAGCAGAACATGAATGATACAGGTATTAAGGGGGACTAATGGGGAGAAAATGTTATTGACCGTGTTGTGTGTGTATGGGGGTAAAAGGGGGGGGGGGGGGGCATCAGAAAGGGAATGAGAATAAAGGATGAAATGATTGCAGAAAGGATGAAAGCTGAGCGTCTGAGAAGAAACAGACTAACACAAATGTTGACAACACTGGTCCTGAAATCCCATGCTATCATTGTGGGACTTTTCTTAACGTGGGTGGGTCTTGCCATCGCCATGGGCTGTTGAGTCCTATGCCACCTTATAGCACAGTATTAACACTATCATCTGGACAGACAGAAAAGTCCCAATAAATTGCATGAAAGAAATTTGTCAGAGCTGCACACATTTTACTAGCAACAATTTAATTCAGGTCAGAAATTGAAGTCGGTTTATTTGTTTTGTCAGATGACTAGAAAATGTTATTATTGTTTCTTATCCATTTAAAAAGTGTGTTCAGAAAATGATCTGGTTGTTTCACCAGATTTATGGCAATCACATTTCTCTGTATTTCATCAGATGCACAAAAACTGAATAAATTCAGCTAAAATACAATTGGTCTCTCTCGATACATTCTATTCATCTAATTGCCCTAGTTCACACTACTTACGAGTAACTTTGGGGGGCAACGTAGTCTCGAGGCATGGTGTCCACCTCAAGTGCTAGAGGTTCCAGGTTCAATCCCCGGTAAGAGCTGGGATTTTTTTACGTGTACTTGGACTTCTAGTAATTCCACCTGGTCTCTGGTAGTGAAATCAGACGCCCGTGTGCATTGTTGTGCACACAAAAAATCCCTTTGCAGTTGGAAATTGAAAAGAGTAGTCTAACGGCGCTGCCCGGGCAAAATTTGCAGTTACAAATCTACCCAAAGTATTTCAGGATCCTTACCGGTGCACAGAGCCTGTGCACTGTGCTGAGCTTCGTTGGACTCAGACTTGAGTTAGAAAAAGAACGAAGCACTTATGGGTTACTACCCGTGTGCCATGATGTTGATCCAAAGTTCAAAAAAACAAAAACAAAACAAAATTTACTTCAAATTTATGTTGAATTTTTTTTGTTTACATAAAAGGGTTTTTCACTTTTATTACTAAAGCTTCGCCTGATCTCAGCAGTTGCCTGTTCGGTGTACAGTAAATTGTGCGATGTATTGTTTGTGTCTGCAATATTCACGTTGACTATGAGAAAACGTTGTTTTGAAGTGACATTTCTGTTTTCTAGGCACTGGCTGTAATGCAGCTTTTGTGGAGAACATTTCAGACATTGAGAAGTGGACAGGAGATGATAAGGATCCTAGACATGTGAGTGGCAAGTACTGATACATATCTTGATTTCTGTCTGTTTTCTTCATATCTCTGCATTTATCTTGATTAGTGACTAATTTAAATTGCCTTTTTACTTAAGAAGTGGTATTGTGATAAATACATTGATTATGTTTATTATATCATTTTAATGCAGTAGTTTTTTTTTTCAGTTCTGATTATTTGATATGTATACATAAATACAGGGCTTTTTTCTGGTGGCAGTTTTGTTAGGCATAGGCATATTTTTTTTTAATCGTACCTGTATTATCACTTTAACGGTGAGTACCAGCACCTTTAGTTCTGAAAAAATATGCCTTGTGTATGTATATATATATGGGTATGTGTGTATGTCTTTTATGTATATGTATGTATATATATATATATATATATGTATAAATGTATATATCTTGTCATTTACTTACTGTTTATGCAATTCAAAATACTCTAGGTAAGTATCCTGTACTTTATTTTATTCTGTCAATTATTGTTATTTTGTTATATTTGTTAACACAGTTTTTGAGTAGTTACATCAGTGGCATTTACTTTTCTGTGTCATAATATTTTCTGATTGTCGTTTGCTCATGAAAACTTGTCACTGCAACATCTTTTATCTGTTTGTTGTATTAGGTATGACTTCCAATCCAGTATGGCAGATAAACAGCCTCTCTCTTATGCTCTTTAAAAAAAAAAAGTTATTTATTTCTAACTAGGGTTTGCTGATACAAATCAGTTTCTCATTTCTAGACTGGGTGTTCAAAAGGTTCCTTCACCCAGCTACTGAGCTGAGTGCTTGATGTTAGACGGTGAGCTGTGGATTTTAATATGGAATGTTTGTTTTTGTTGTGTACATAAACAATTTTTGTTCTGAACTGTATTAAAAAATGGCAGGTGACCAGTTATGTTCAAAATGGCATGTACTTGTGCAGTATTGCATGTGCAATGCCAGCTTCCATAAGTGACTGCTTGTATCACCAGTGAGCTTCAATTCTGGCATAGAACGGTTAGTGTTGGCATTTATTTTACATGTACGAGATCCAAGATTTTGCTGGGACTGACATGTTTTCCACTAGTTTTCAAATGGGACAGTTAAGGACAATTTTGTATGATTTCCTCTCGCACAAAAATAGAGCAGATATGGGGTCACCCATCTGAAGGGAAGTTGGAACCTTGTCTAAGGACTAGCAAACCTTTGTTTTGTAAAGCTGATAAATAATTGTGTTTTTCCAATTGAAAAAGAAAGGCTTAAACTGGTGTCATTAATTTTACTGAGTTTGTCTTTCAGGTTATAGTAAATGTCGAGTTGGGGTCTACTGGTGATGGAGGCTGTTTGGATTTTTGCCGGTCTGAGTATGAGAAGGAAGTTGACAAATTCTCAAATCACCCAGGATCATTTACGTAAGATCTTGTTCAACATACTTATAAAAGTGTGTGTTTTTTTTTAAACTCTTGGAATTCAAGCAACACTAGAGTAATTATTTACCACCTTATATTTTGTCTTTGACCTAACTTTAAAAAAAAACTGGTATAAGGAAATGTTCTTTAGAGAAAAGCCTGCTGGTGTAATATGGCTACATCTTCAAGTGTTGTGTTATTTTATTTTAAAAACAAAAAAATGGAGCTTGAATAAAATATATTGCATAAATGTATTCACAGCATAGTTTCTGGAGCTCCATTCTGAGATAGAAAACGTAAGACTTGCTCCCACTTAACAAGCATACGCTTGGCAACTAATTACTACTGCTGAAATTGAATCTGTTGAGTCGAAAGTGAAAGATTTCACAGCCTAGCTGTAAAACAGAATACAATATGCCCGCTAACTTTTTCAATCAAGAGGTAAATGGACTTACAGGATGTGTGCATTATTTTGACCATATTTGTAAGTGTTAAACAACAACTATGCTTTTTGTTTTTTAATGCTGGTTTTAAATTTAGAAAGATTTTGTAGTTAGTTTCTACGTTATAGTACAGATTTTGAACAACAAAGAAACAGTTTGTTTCACACCTCAAAATTTCAGTTGAAAATATGAAAAACAAGAACGTAGCAGTTTGTTTCTGATCTCCACATTCCACAATAGAATGATTGTTGATTATTGAATTATGAATCAACATCACAGCACTCGGGACACTTGCATAAGTGCATTCCACAATAGAAGTTGAACAGCAATACAGTATAAAAAGAAATATATATATATATATATATATATATATATATATATATATATATATATATATATATATATATATATTATATATATATATATATATATATATATATATATATATATATATATATATATACACACACACACACACACATATGGTTAATATCATTACATTACAGTATAAAAGTGTAATAACAATACATTAACCCTTTCAGTACCAGACAATTAATTATCTGTAGGGGGTTTGTTTGGTTTGGTTTGGATGGGGTATGAGTGGTCTTGGGGCATAGTGCTAAAGGTCCCAGGTTCAGGCGCTGGTGAAGGCTGGGATTTTTTCACGTTGACTTCTAGTAATTACCCCTGGTCTCTGGGTAGTAAGATTGGACACCCGTGTGTATTGTCGTGCACATTTAAAAAAAACCTAGGCAGCTGGAAATCAAAAGGAGTAGCCTAACGTCGCTGCCCTGGCAACAATTTAGAGTTTAAAATCTACCCAAAGTATTTCAGGATACTCGCTGGTGCTCCAGAGTTTGTGCACTGCGCTTAGATTCTTTGAACTCAGGCTTGAATTGGAAGTAGAACACTTATGGGTTACTACCTTTATGCCATGATGTTGATCCATTGTTTAAACCTTTGTTTTGTTTGGGAAACTTGGGACTGGGGTGTCCTCAATATAATTGGTATAATAATTTTCTTGACTCATCTCCCGCTGTACTCTTGCTGCATTACTTATGTCTTTGCATTCTGATAGTGTAATTCTCTGAAGAAAGCATGATAACCCCTTCGAATAGAATCATTAACGACTATAAAGGAGCAGCTGCTTTGGAAAGAAAGAGTACAGTAACAACTTGCTGGTACAGAAAGACTGAAGATTGACTCTTCTTCTTTTTTCTGCTTTTCCTCCCTCTCCATCATTCTCCTCCTTCCTCCTCCTCTTCTTCTTTTTCTTCTTCTTGATCTCCTTCTTCTTCTTCTTCTTCAGCTTCGGCTGCTGCTGCTGCTGCTATGCTACTATTGCTGCTGCTTTCACTCTTAAAAGGATGCTTGGCAGTTTGTTTGAGCTTTCATCTAGGCTGTGATATCTGCACCTACTGGCACAGCTTGTATGGTTTCCACAAACCCCTAATATTTCACCTTTTATGACATGCTTGTTGTGATAACAATAAAATCCCGTGCTGTCTAAACTGTAGAGGTTGGCAACAGTTTATCACTAATGTCTTTGGGAATATTACATGGTGAGATCCAAGCCTCTTCCAAATATGCCCCTCTCGTACCTTTGTCTGAAAACCACGCAAACAGGTTTTTCAAAACTGCCCACCGCAAGACACATGACTCGAGGATCATGACATTGTTAACTGAACTCGCTAACTTGTAAGCCATTTAGATGCTGTAACATTATTGTAATATGTGAAGATTATAACAAACCCATAATTTTGTTAGGATACAGTGGGTCTGTTTATCTCCCCCCCCCCCCCCCCCCCCCCCCCCCCCCCCCCCCCCATCCATGGGATCTCAGAACCCACATGAAAAAAGAACTTAATGTCTGAACTGTGACCTCTTGCAGGTTTGAGAAATCATTTGCTGGCATGTACCTTGGAGAGCTAGTTCGTCTGGTTCTGGTGCGTTTGATCAGAGATGGAATATTGTTTGGAGGACAAGGGGGAAAATTAGTTGATGCAAGATGGAAGTTCACCACAACTGATGTAACTAACATTGAAAGGTATTATTCATGTAATTTTGAACTGCAGATCATATTGTACGGTTTAATTGTTCTTGTTGCTTATTGAATCCTTTCATGGTGCATATACTGTTAACCCTTTGGCGACGGAGCCTTTTTGGAGTTTCGGTGCTAAGAAGACGGAGCCTTCAGGAGGGGATTCTAATAGTTTATTCACAAAAAAGTATAAAAAATACAACTTTTAATTATCATGTACAAAACTATGTATGTTAGTGTAGAAAATTGAATTACCTAACAGAATATTTATGAATAAAACTGAAATCTTAACATTTTTTCACATTAACTATTCTAATTTGCATAATTTAGGAAAGCAGTTTTTAAAAAACTTGGTAACAAACATAACTAACCTGAAAAATGTGGGTGAATATTTTTATGGATGAAGCTTGAATAAGTCCTAACACCTGTATTTTGGGAAGTAAGGCTTTTGGAGGCCCTTCAGAAACGTCTGGCAAATGGTTCTTCTCATTTTCCTGCCCCCAACTATGTTTCGGTTGCTATGACGCAACAGTCCTTTTTGCCATTTTTGGGCACAGGTAACCCCAGAAAAAATCAATGTAAAATTACAGAACACATCAAAGTTTCTCGAAAGCCATCAATGAACAGCCTACGTGTGCGAGAAATGCGAGAAGCAGTCTGACTGGCTGGTACGAAAACCTGCCAGCCAATATTAAGGCCCAGTCGTCCTTTTGGCTACTTTGTGTTGGACTGATATTTGGGCCTCATCGTCTCCATGGTTAATGACATTATAACTCTTTGGGAAAACTCTTAGATACTTCGTCTTCCTCAGTAAATGATGGACGTATTAATCATTCAAGTAAGAGATTGATTGTAAAAATGTTAAGATCATCCCCCTCAGAGTCCCTTCTTGATGACTAAACATAAATTCAAACTCAAGTATTCATAAATAGGTTGTTTTTGTCTTTTATTTTATCTTCAGTTAGCAGTAGTTTTATTTTATCTTCAGTTAACAGTAGTTTTATTTTATCTTCAGTTAACAGTAGTTTTATTTTATCTTCAGTTAACAGTAGTTTTATTTTATCTTCAGTTAACAGTAGTTTTATTTTATCTTCAGTTAACATTAGTTTTATTTTATCTTCGGTTAGCAGTAGTTTTACTTTATCTTCAGTTAGCAGTAGTTTTATTTTATCTTCAGTTAGCAGTAGTTTTATCTTCAGTTAGCAGTAGTTTTATTTTATCTTCAGTTAGTAGTAGTTTTATTTTATCTTCAGTTAGCAATAGTTTTATTTTACCTTTTTAGCATTAGTTTTATTTTATCTTCAGTTAGCAGTAGTTTTTTTTAAATCTTCAGTTAGCAGTAGTTTTATTTTATCTTCAGTTAGCAGTAGTTCCCAAGTCACGGACTCGTATTCAGTGTTTACTTTCTGTTCACATCTGTTTACGAGACTCTTGCAGAATCTTTACCATTTAGTAGTGTTATTTTATCTTACTGTAGTGAAATGCTTGTTCCTCCTGTTTACATAATTTTATCTGTTCACAGAGGTACCTTTACCTTCTTTCCATGCAATTTTAACTGACAACATTGATACTTCTGTCCACAATCTTGTCTGCCTACAACCAGTTTTTACCTTTAGTTTACACAGTAACTGGCTGCAATGAAATGCTAAACCTGAGCTGACATAATTGTATCAACTGCTGGGAATTGTTTATATTCATTCACGTTATTTGACAGCAGAAAATACTTACCATATATATTCCTAATTTTATATGTCTGCAATTGTATATCTTGGTGTTGTGTTGACTACATCACCCACAGAGTACCAGATGAGTTAGATGAGTCTAACCTCGATTGATCTATGACAGTATAAGTCTAACCCCGATCAGTCTATAAAAAAAAAAGTCTTATCCTGATTGACCTCAGAAAAGATCAGTCTAACCCCAAATGGCCTTTAAAATTGTGAGTCTGACCCAAGCTGCCCTATAAAATATGTCTAACCCTGATCGCCTGTAAAAAATACAAGTTTAACGCAAATTGGTCTATACAATTATGGTTATAGCTACGATTGGTCTGTGAGTAAAAAATATGATTCTACTAAGATTAGTCTATAAAATTATGATTCTATCCTTGGTCTATGAAAATATGATTCTGCTACAATTGGTCTATAAAATTATGATTCTAGCTACGATTGGTCTATGAAAAAATGATTCTACTATAATCATTGGTCTATAAAAATATGATTCTAGCTAGGATTGGTCTTTGAAATATGATTTTTCTGTTATTGGTCTAAAAAATTATGATTTTAGCTACGATTGGTCAATTAAAATATGATCCTACTGTAGTTGATCTATAAAATTATGATTCTAGCTATGATTGGTCAATGAAAGTATGATTCTACTACAATTTGTCTATAAAAATATGGTTCTAGCTAGGATTGGTCGATGAAAATATGATTCTACTATGATAAGTCTATAAACTTATGATTCTGACATATGCTTGATGCACCACTGGTATAAAAAGCATCCTTTGCATTTGTTTTTAAATGTTCACTTTACATTGATATTTTCTGAATACAGTGTGATATTGTTATGATGTTAACCTATTGCCATAAGCTGCTAATGTACCTAAATCTTTTAGTGACGTGGGTGACTCTACCAACAACACAAGAGGGGTGCTAAAGAAGTTTGAACTAGATTCAATAGCAACAGATGAAGATATAGCTATAGTCAGAGAAGTGACTGAATTCATGTCTGTGAGAGGAGCTTACATTGTAGCATCTGGTAAGATACTGCAGTCATATGTTTTCTCTTAAATGTTTTTGTTTGTCTTTGTTGATTAATCACCAGTAACTTGAGCTTCATCTTGTAAAGCTATTTTGCATACTAAACACCTTTATGTTGCACCTTTATATCCAGCAACATTTTCTCCAAACATGTTGATGTCAACTCTCCTTTGGAGTTGATAAAGCAGCTTGGGACGGGGATCTGCTGCATGAGCAACTGGTGATCTCTTCAACATTGCCCATGCTTTGTTCTTCAGAAAGGATGAACTTCATCCATGACATAAATTGCCAATCACCATTAGCTGTTCGTTCTTTTTCTTAGTGCTCACTGGTTTTTTTGAGTGCTTATTTGTATGCAGAACTTTTGGTTTCTCGCCTCTATGATAGATATGCTCTGATTTGAGAAGAAAATTTCTATTTAGTAATTTTTTATGACCTGCTTGATGGGGAGGTATCGAATCTATTCTCCCCAAAATGGCACCCCATAACCACACAGGGAAACCATGGGCTGTGATTCACATGCTTTTCTATAACACAGGGCCGTCTTAATGCTGGGGCCCTCTGGGAACTTTCCCCAGGGTCCCACGAGCCCAGGGCCCCAAGCTGATCTGTGAATGTCAGGTGATTTTCCATATAAGAAGTTCGTGGTAATTTCATACTCTGCAGTCTAATCTGTGTTTTTGCCATAACAAACGGTTTTCTTGAAGTGCTAGTAAAGTAAAAATATAGTTAAAATTATCTACCATTTTACATTTCATTTCTGTGAGTTGTTGTCATAAGGACCCCAGCACAGTGGTTTGCTTGGGGACCTATAGTGCCCTTGAGATGGCCTTGCTATAGTGCATACAACACTATTGTCTGGAAAGATTGGAATTTGCAAAAAATGAACATGGTTATTGTAATCACTCATTTTTTTTTTTTCAAGAAATGTCCGTGTTTTTGTACCAGCAAATTTCTTATCATATAGGAAAATAAAGTGATGCAGTTTATACTATTGTATGATTCATGTTTATAATGTGCTGTCATTCTGCTTTCTGCTGCTTGTTTGCATTTGAAATTGTTCTTCAATTCTGTGATATTTGCAGTGATGTCTGTTCTGGTCAACTATGTTCGTCTACCAGAAGTTACAATTGGCATAGATGGCTCATTGTATGAGAAACACCCAAAATTCCATGATGCAATGATGGAGATATTTGAAAAATATAGTCCAAACACAAAGGTGAGCATATCAAATGATGCAATGATGGAGATATTTGAAAAATATAGTCCAAACACAAAGGTGAGCATATCAAATGATGCTGTGATGGAGATATTTGAAAAATATAGTCCAAACACAAAGGTGAGCATATCAAATGATGCTGTGATGGAGATATTTGAAAAATATAGTCCAAACACAAAGGTGAGCATATCAAATGATGCTGTGATGGAGATATTTGAACAATATAGTCCAAACACAAAGGTGAGCATATCAAATAATGCTGTGATGGAGATATTTGAAAAATATAGTCCAAACACAAAGGTGAGCATATCAAATGATGCTGTGATGGAGATATTTGAAAAATATAGTCCAAACACAAATGTGAGCATATCAAATGATGCTGTGATGGAGATATTTAAAAAATATAGTCCAAACACAAAGGTGAGCATATCAAATGATGCTGTGATGGAGATATTTGAAAAATCCCACTGATATTTTAAGCTAAAAATGGGAATCCCACTGATATTTTAAGCTAAAAATGGGAATCCCACTAATATTTTAAGCTAAAAATGGAACAGCCCACTAATATTTTAAGCTAAAAATGGAACAGCCCACTGATATTTTAAGCTAAAAATGGAACATCCCACTGATATTTTAAGCTAAAAATTGGACATCCCACTGATATTTTAAGCTAAAAATGGGACATCCCACTGATATATTAAGCTTAAAATAGGACATCCCACTGATATTTTAAGCTAGAAATGGGACATCCCTAGCATGTCAGTTTACCGCTTCCACCCTGAAACAATTCACAAATTTATTATTTTTAATTGATATGAAGCTTATGCATTTTAACAGCATGAGAATATATGGCCTATAAATTGTATAAGACATACTTTAAAGGGATAGCTGAAAGGATTTCTGAAAAAGAATTAATTATATTTACTATAAATAGCACTTGGGGATATTCTTGCAAACAGTAAGCTTTTAAAATGTAAATTCTCACATCATATTTTCCCCATTAGCCTGAATGTTGAATGTTCAATATTGAATTAAGAATCATCACAGCACTAAGGACATCCACATAAGCGCTCCGCTCCCATCTCCAGCAGAAAGCGAATAGTAAAACTCTGATGGTACCAGTAACGGTCTGATTGTATATCCTTCTTGACTTTCCCCCTAAGTGCCGAGCTTTGGCCAGATCCCCTGGGAACTCCTGGCAGTGCCATTCTCCTCAGACCGTAATGATCTATCTGTTCCTCGGCACTGTTCACTCGCTCCCAAAGGGCCATCACAACATCCAGCTTGTCATATATCAGTTCACCACCAAGTGGTGCAGAACCAGCCAGTCTATCTGCCTGCTCATTTCCCAACACACCGGCATGACCTGGAGAAAATATCCAAAGAATGCTAACTACCTGGGACCTCAGAAGTAATGCTTGACACTATGCACGAAGCATGCCTGTCTCCAACTTTTTCAGCACGCTCTGTGAGTCAGTTACAATGGCGACATGTGTGTCCAGCTGATCCATTAGCCTTCAGCACATTTAAGGCATTAAAAGTAACTAAGAATATTAAATCTGATAAGGTCTACATATATAACTATAAGACTATGTTCTACTCTCGAGCTTATTCCTTGGTAATTTTTTTTTAAATTGAGGCACAAGGCGCAGGGTTTTTTTTTTTAAATCGAGAACTTGAGTTTTGCATGCATTTTATAGATCTGTTTTATTTTTAAGCAGACTGTTGGTTCCATGCATCTCAGACAAATGTACTGTGACTTTGAAGGTAACATGCCTAATTAGTGGGCATGCTTGTTAAGATGGCAGTGGTTGGATTCCTTTTTTCTCTATAATGGGGCTATAAAATGCACACTTGGAAAATTGAATGGGTTGAGTTTAGTCAAGAATTGACATCACAGCACTCGGCACATTCCCATGCATGCTCCGTCCTCATCTTCAGCAGCCAGTGCAGAGTTCCAATACTGATGATACCGGTCACAATCTGGTTAAATGTCCGTCTTGCCTTTTCTCTGAGTGTAGTCAGCCAGCCAGACCCTCTGGTTACACCCAGGTGCCTCATTCTCTCCAGGCCATAATAATCTGGGATAAATAATGACATTTTATAATTATTTTCAGATGTACAGTTGTTGTTTATTTACATTACTTATTTCTGAACTAGGTCAACTTGATCCTGGCAAAAGACGGCAGTGGACAAGGGGCAGCCTTTGCAGCAGTTTCAGCCTTGAAGCAGGCTGCTAAAGGGATCAGATGCTCATAATTAGATAAGGCTGTCTCACTAACACTGTTCTCATTACATCTGATGCTGCAGGCTTCTCTTACTTGTATTTTTTTTTTCCAATGGATTACAGTTTTCATGGTTCCTGTTTGATTCTTGTCCTTTCCTCTTTTGAGAGGAGTTGGTCAACCTTGATTATGCTAATGTCTGGAGGAGTTCAGTGTGTCTAACTGTAGCATACATTTATGTGTGTTTATCTGGTTCAGAATACTGAAGAGGGCTTTTTTGTGAGCTATATATAACAGTTTAGTGATGAATAATAGTCAGAGACTTTATAATTTTGTTGCATACTTTCATTTTAAGAATATTTTTAGTGCCATTGCAATCTTTATATCTCTGCTGTCTTTTTTCACTTTTGAATGCTCCTCTACTTCTTATCTCTGTCTAGAAAGTTTAAATAGGCTTTTAAATGCGTGATATGCTTTTGTCCATATGAACCATGCACGATCTGATATGAAATCTGATTGAAATCTGGTCAGTTATTTAACTATGCACCCTGGTCTATGTTTCATACAAAGTATGTAAATTCTGCCTCTGTTAAAGTTATGCACTCATGTTCTATTCATTGTGGCTGTCACTTCCTTTGGATATCTTCTATTTTATTTTGTGGGACCGAATGAGTTAAGCAGGTCTACACTACGACTCATTAGACTCATCAGTGTCAAGTGCCTTGCCATATGGCATGGACAGTCATGCTTCCCCCCTGCATTGTTTGATTTCCGGCATCTTGGTTTATTATCTGCCCTGCCAACCCGAGCGCCGGCACAGAGAAATCATAGGTGAAGGCAATTAAGCCTAGTTTGGGTGCTCAGTGATAATAATTATTATTGTTATTATGTGTTGAATGGCAAATAAATCCAATAGTATATTTGAAATATTATAAAATATGTAAAAAAAATACTGAAAAAGATAACATTGGTGCATGGTTATGTAAAGATGTATGCAAGCGGGACATGAATGATACAGGTATTGAGGTAGACTCGGAACAAAATGCCATGAACCATGTTGTGGTGAGGGAGCGCATGAGTAAGGAAATGAGAATGAAGGAAGAAATTATTGCAGAAAGGATGAGAGCTGAGCGTCTGAGAAGAAACACACTCAGCACAAATGTTGATGATTACAAGAGTCCTGAAAACCTATGCTATAATTGTGGAAGACTTTTAAACGGGGGCAGGTCTTGCTTGTCACACCTGCCATTGCCATGGGCAGTGGATCTCAAGCCCCCCTCATAGCCCAATATAACATTATCGTCTGGAAGGTGCCCAATCAATGAATGGTTATGAAGAACCACTTAGTTGCCTTGCCTTCTGCCAACAAGCACTGGTAGCCATACTTTGTCATCCTGCATAATTACCAGAATCATGGATGAAGTAAGTGCTCTTGACCCTATATGGTTAAATTATCCAGGTCTCTGTCTTCTAAGTATTTTTCTGTCAATTTTGCAAGTTTTCACCTAGTTATTAGGTCTTGTCTTTTTCCAATTACATCCAAAAATATTGACTATTTATTTAATGTCTTGGATCAATTAATATTAATGCTACAGCCAATATCCAGTAGCCTGAGTTTGAGATGAATCCGTTCCACATCTTTGAATGATGCCATTTGCATAATTACATCATCATCTGTTTTCAGTCTCCAATTCTTTTAGTTTTTCAGTTGTGTTCAAGTTATTTATTTATTTTTTTAGCGTGTACTGCTAATTCTCTTTTCATCCTTATAGTTGTGCTGCTGATTTGCCCTTTTCATGTTCAACTGCTGTTTTTGATTCTTTAATTTTCTTTCTTTTACTTGTTGCTTGTTGTCAGTATCGATATCCCAGCACGTTAGTTCAACCAGTTTGTTCTTTGTCCGCTGATGCAGGAGCTATCTGGGCGTCTTCATTCTCAGCGTACCCAGTAGGCTTTGCTTGTCATATCCTCTTTCTTAACCCTACAGCCAGTTTCTGCATGTTGTCCTTGTTTAGTATCAAATTTCAACAGGCAGTTTGTCGTCTCTGACTCCTTTGTCTCATCATCTCTGGGATGCAGCACATTTAGTATGTCTGCCCTGTCCATACTTCTTCCCCGAATAATCGTTTCGGACGCAGCCAGTCTGTTCATTTCATTTCAGCCCGGCATTTTCTGATGTGTACAGCCAAGATAGTTTTTTGAGGCAGGACTTCTGGATGCTCTTAACCCATTATAGTTTGGATTTTCTTAAGCCCCGCTCATTGATTCTGTAAGTTTCAGTGCGTGGGTTGCTTTCTGTTTTGCCCTCCATGCCAGTGGCCCTGCGACAGGTGCTATCACCTGTTGTAATGTTCTTTCTGTGGTGAGTTTCAGTTTTCTCTCTGTCGATTAAACCAGATTTCTCTTTGTCAATTTGTATATTTTTGTGTTTTTTTCCATTCCTTAAGCTCTTTACCAATCCAGATACATACAAGATAACAATTCTTCTTCTTATTATTCTTCCTTTTCTTCTTCTACAACTTATACTGCTGCTGCTAATACTACTACTTTTACTGCAGCTACTGCTGCTACTACTACTACTAGTACCGTCACCCTTAAAAGAGCAGTTGGCACATTGTGTTGTGGTTTACAGCTAGGCTGCAATATTTGCACCATTTGGACCAACATATTCGATTTCAACAATCCTTAAATAGTTGCCTTTTATCAAGGAGCACAGGGTCTTTTTTATTTTGACCCAAGTACTCAGGCCCTCTGGCCCACACAGGGAGATAACACTTCTGGTGTTGACCTCTTGATGGCTTGAAGAGTTACCTCAAAACTGAACACTAACTAAACAAGAAGCTCTTGGAAAAAAAAGGTATATTTAGTGTGTATATTATTAATTATTAACTAAAGGTAACAATAAGACAAGTAAAAAATATAATCAAGATTTTTTATGAGGCACAAATATTAGTTGTGTAAGTTGCTTGTGAATTTTTGTTTAGCAATTTAATTTTCAGTTGTTTGCCATTGCTCTTGCAACCATTGGCTCTCCATACCGCTCTTTTTCTTCTTCTTCTTCGCATTCACTGAGTGTAAACTCCAGGGGAAAGTTCTCGGTTGTTCATTCACCTCTGGACTTTAGTCATGTTCCAGAACCTGAATGTTGCATGCCCATCCGTTTAACAGATCTGACTTAACTGTATGCAGATTGTTGGTTCCTTGCCTGTCAGGCAGATCCACTCCGACTTCAAAAGAAGCCACCAATTAGTCTACTCCTACGACATACTTGTGGAGGAGGCAGTGGATCTATTCTTGAGTTCCCCATAGTGGGGCTCCAGAACCCCCACGGGAGGATACCACTATTGAAATCAATGCAAAGTAGCCTGCTGACAGATTGCCCACATCTGGAATCAGGCCAGCTATTTTGGAATGAAGCCCGTGCACAATGCCTAGGCCACAGGCACCTGTAGAAATAGAGGTAGGTAGGAGGTTGTACCGCACCAGGACATCACACAAGCGATAAACACCTGGTGACACAAAGTGCCACCATGCGGATGAGGATAACCTGTGGAGAGGTCCCCAAAACCTCTTTCAGCCATTTAGGCCATTTTCATGGCCCCTGGCAAAAGCCAGAGTGGGGCTTAAAAAAATAAAATTGCATCCCACAAGAGCATGACTTCACAGTATGGACAAATAAAAGAAGTTACGAAAAAACACTGACAGAGTTAACAGAAATTGATTTCTTGTTTAAGGAATGACATTAGGAAAGTTAGGATGAAAATGGTTTGGTTTTGTATGCGGCTGTATTGTCCAAGTTTCAGTGCACAGGTAAATTTAAAAAAAATTGTCTTATCTTCTTAGTCGGCTGTAAACTCCAGTGGTAAGTTCTGGTTGTTCATCCACTTCTGGACTTTGGTCTTGTTCTAGAACTTGAGGTTTGTGTGCACATTCATTTTGCAGATCTGGCTTCATTTTTATGCAGACCGTTGCTTCCTCACCTCTCAGAGAGATGCACTCTGGCTTCGAAGGAAACTGCCCTAATTAGTTGACCTTTACAACATACTTGTAAGGAAGGCATTGGGTCTGTCCCCACCCCTCAATGGCGTCCTGGGAACTTCAACAGGGAATTATTTTCTTTAAGTGTATAAAGTTGTATACCACAGACAGAACTGTTGAAGGAGGTTTAAAGATAATATAAAATGTATGTGTTTGCATGCGTGTAGTCAATGAGAGAATTAACTGAAATCATGTATCATATAATGGCAGCTAACATAGGTAGTCTTCTCAAAAGCCTTATTTTGAATCTTTCTGTTTACACGAAGAAACATTTGTCTTCCTCCAACTCACAATCTGAGAAAAGAAAATGTCTCAGCATCGTAAAGTCTGTTTAATTTTGTTGCGGGTAAGACATGCATGTTTAATTTCTGCCACCTGTTCTACCATGTTTCCCCATTAATAGGACCTACCCCATAAGTAAGTCCTAGCACGATTTTTCAGGATGCCTTTAATATATGCTGTAACCCAAAATAAGCCCTATTCATCCTTTTTTACTTTGGCTTTGTGCCAGGGCCTGAGTTTTGCATGTACATTCGTTTTAAAGGCTTATTTATGTGCAGTTGGTTGTTTCTCGGGCAGATGCACTCTGACCTTGAAGGAAGTCTCCAGTAAGCTGACTTCTACACCATGCTTGTTGGCGAGTCAATGGGTCTATTCTTGTTTTTCCCACAATGCGGCCCCGGAGCCCACATAGGAAAGCCCTAGTTATGATCGTCAGAATCCAATGATCACGTAATAATGCGTTCTTTGGGACTGAGATGCTCAGATGTTAAGACTTACAACCTCAATGGTTTTTTTTTTTTTTCAACACTGCCATCGAATATCTTGTTTAAATTCCCCCATTTTATGTAGGGAATCAGGCATGTGTATTTCCCAGTGTTCCCATTGCATTTATTAAGGGTTTGCTTGTATATGTAAGCCATGCTACTGAGATTTCCTCATCAGCAGATTACCCATAGTAAAAGACAGCTCCAATCATTGTTTTCCTGTTATCAG